AAAAGTATATTTTATGTGTATGAGTATATTGCCTTACGTGTATGTAAGTGCACCCATATCGTACAATGCCCACAGAGATCAGAAGAGAGCATTGGATCCCCTGAAACTGGAGTTACAGATGGTTGTTAGCCACCATGTTGGTGCTGGGAACTGAAGCCAGGTCTGAGCCATCTCTCCACTTACCTGATTTTTTTAGTTGGCTACCTATATTCTCTTATAACTCAGTAAGCTTCTTCAACATGATTATTTTGAATTCTTTGTCAGGTTAGGATTGGTACCTGAAGATCTATTTTACTGCTTTGATCGGTGTAGTAGCTACTTTCCTTGTTACTGTGATCAAATAACTGATAAGAATACATGCACTGGGGATGAAATCCAGGGTCTCATGTGTGCTAAACATACCATGAGTTACATCCTGGTCCCCTGACTGCAGATTCTTGTCATTTGATTTTTGAGACAGGGTCTCCCTATCGCCCTAGCTGGCCTTGAACTCACTGTCTAGCTGAGGATGGCCTTGAACTCCTGACCCTCCTGCCTCTACTTTCCAAGTTCTGGGACTGGAGGATTGCAGTGTTGCAGGATTGCAGGCATGTGACACCAGACCTAACTCAGGGTTTGTTTCCTTAAAGTTTTCTTTTTCTACAGAATTTGAATCTTCCAGACTAGGAATTATACATTAGGATTCTAGAAGAGTTTGGGGGCCCAAGGGAGATCACAGGTTTTTTTTTGACAACTTGTATTTGAAAAATGAAATAAATATTGCCCAGGGGCCAATGAGATGGCACAGCAGGTTAGGGGCCTTGCCATGCAAGCCTGGCAACCTAAGTTTGATCCCTAGAACCCATGTAAAGGTCAATGGAGAGAACCAGCTCCACAAAATTGTTCTCTGACCTTCACACATTCCCTCCCCACACCCATACATCATGCATATGCACAATAATAAAAATAATAAATAAACAATGTAAATATCGGGCTGGAGAGATGGCCCAGTGGTTAAAAGCACTGACTGCTCTTGCAGAGGACCCGGGTTCGATTCCCAGCACCCACATGGTGGCTAAAAACCGTCCTTAACTCCAGTTCCAGGGGAATCAGAAGCCCTCTTCTGACCTCCACGGCATTGCACGACATGGGCACACTCACATGCAGGCAATACACCCATACATATAAAATAAAAATAATATTTTTTAAAAAATTTAAATATAATATTTCCCTTAAAAAATAGAAATACTGCCTAGAGAGTTAATAGTTTCAAGTACTCTTGACCTGAGCTCACTGAGGCAGTGAGAGAGGGAACCACATACACTTCTGTATGGGAAATGGGTTTCACTCTTACAAAAAGTTAATAAAAAAATAATTTAAAATATACCAGAGTATATAGACTTATTCAGTACACTAAAGAATTTTATCTCCAATAATTTAAATGATATGGGGAAGGGATTTGTGGGAAACTTTTTTTTTTTTTTTGGTCTTTTTGAGACAGGGTCTCCCTGTAGCCCCAGTTAGCCTGGAACTTGCTATGTAGCCCAGATTGGACTTGAATTCATAGAGATCTGCCTGCCTCTGCCTCCCTAGTGCTGGGACTAAAGGCTTGTGCCACCATGCCCAGCTAGGGGGAAGTAGTTTTTAAGACCTTTTTTTTTTTTTAATGTGTATGTCTGTGTATGCCACATTAAATGCAGGTACCCACAGAGGCCAGAAAAAGGTATCAGATCCCTTGAAACTAGAGTTAACACGCATTTGTGAGGTCTCTCCTCCCCCAATCCCCCCCCCACACCCATCAATCGACAAAACTGAACTCAGGTCTTCTGGAAGAGCAACAAGCACTCCTCTTAACCAGGGAGCCATCTCTCTAGCCCCAAGTGCAATGTTTTGATTAAGAACTCAAGACAGGGGCTGGAGAGATGGCTTAGTGGTTAAGAGCACTGACTTGTGCTTGCAGAAGATGTGGGCTTGAGTCCCAGCACCCACATGGCAGGTAACACCATCCATAACTCCAGTTCCAGGGGATCTGACACCCACTTCTGTCCTTTTCAAGGAGTTCATGACATAGGTGCACTTACATACATGCAGACATAATACTGATACAACATTAAAAAAAAAAAAAAAGAACTCAGGACAGACTGGAGAGATGGCTCAGTGGTTCCTCCGGAAGACCTTGGTTGGTTTCCCATCACCCATATGGTAGCTAACAACCATCCATAACTCCAGTTCCAGGAGATTCAATGCCCTCGCCTGGTTCCTTAGGCATTGTATGTACAGGTGCACTTACATACATGCAGGCAACACACATAAAAATAAATCAAAGAACTCAAGACAAGCTTGGTGTGATGGCACTCACCTTTAATTTCAGCCCTTGGGATGCAGAGACAGGCAGATCTCTGTGAGTTCAGTCAACCTGGTCTACATAGTGAGACTCTGGTTAAAAAAAAAAAAAATTGGCAAGATTTTGGGTTAATTGGCTAATTTAAAAATGTGGAGATTTGGGGGGCTGGAGAGATGGCTCAGTGGTTAAGAACACTGACCCTTCTTGCAGAAGACCCGGGTTCAAGCCCAGCACCCACATGGCAGCTAACAACTGTCCATAACTCCAGTTCCAGGGGATC